AACTATATGACAAAGAAACCAATGTATACAAGCCAATCAAGTTCTTCAGTTTAAAGGTCTGTTTACTTTTTAATAATTAGTTCATTTAGTTGTACATTAATACGAAGTACTGGAACAGTACGCCTAGTCACAGAATAGGAAGGTATACCCATTGAACTAAAAATAACTGGAACGATACCTCCAGCCGGGAATGTGAAGCCATGCCCAGGCCAGTGAACTCTCTATATATATATATATATATGGAATGATAACAGCGAGCGAAAAGTGAAGCCGACAAAAAAATCACGACATAAGTATTCGTCATTGTCTTCGTCATCAACTGTTCAAAAACTTTCTTACAGCACAGAATACTACACAGAAGTCCATCTCCATTGTTTTTAGCGTAAGCTCTATTCGTCATGATTCGTCACTCAGCAAGTACCGTAAACAGAAGCAGTCCCCCTCCTGGAAATACTAAAAATGGCGTATGTCCAGGGGGACAGTACTTGCTGAGTGACGCATCATGACGAATAGAGCTTACGCGAAAAACAATGGAGATGGACTTCTGTGTAGTATTCTGTGCTTACAGTATTAAAAATCACTTACATATAAAATTTGTAATTGTTTTGAAAGTTTTTATCACAGTTTTTATATCTTTATTCACTTTTAACCTGAAGATGGAGTTATACTCCGAAACGTAGTTATTAAAATAATTTTTTACTGAGCCCATAATATGGTCTAATTTATATTCAAACACACGTACATATTCATTTACATTTTGCTGGCAGGCAAATTCCCATCACACAATAAATTCTTTAAAAAATAACGTACCAGTGTATTGACTAAAAACTATAAAACTGGTAAACTAAAAAACAATTCAAACAATCGCGAAAAATGGCAACGGCAAAGTCACAGTTAATTGCAAGTCAATTTACCTACCTGTGAAATGAAATTTTCTTGCAAGAATATCTCTTTCCTTGTGCATCCAGAACGACAGTACGACACAATATATTTGAAAAAGTGATTCTTTTCTCCACACGGGGAAGTTTTCCTCGACTTTTTTCCGACAGCGAACTCAATGCAGTAAATTTTAGGAGCAAAACTGTTTGCTCCTACAATGTATTGCATTGAGTTGGCCATGTTTTTAATTTTGTTTCGTGATTGCGTTCAAATTTATACTGGCCGTGCAACGGTTTGCAGAGGGGGAATGAAACTGACGTCCAATCCGCGTAAACCTGACGTTTGAGGGACTGAGACTGACGTCCAATCCGTGTGAAAGACTGGTATCGAGGCTTCATTGTTTTCACAATCAAATGACTGAATGTTATCATATATATATATATATATATATATATATATATATATATATATATATATATATATATATATATATATATATATATATATATATATATATATATATATATATATATATATATATATAGAGTTCACTGGCCCAGGCATGCCCACTGTTGTCATGCCCAGTCTCTTCACGTAACGGAAACACAGAATAGAAAATAGACCAGAAGCCTCACTTAGCCAAAATTATGTCCGAGATTTTTTATGCGCAGGCGCGAGCCAGCAAGTGTAATCACGACGCCATCACTAGGTAATAAAGATTGCTGTTTTAACCGTTTTGCTGACGAACGCTGACGTCGGATGTTCGCAGCAAGTGTCACATACGTTATCTAGCGTGCGAAATTCGTGATCCGCAAGGCGAAAATCGCGGACACGAAAATGTTAGGAAAAGATATACAGTGAGGCTTCTGGTCCATTTTCTTTTCTGTGTCATGACTTCGGCTATCGATTGACGACGGTTGGTTCAGTTTTGAAATGTGACACGTGACCAAAAAATGCATAAATTTGCATAAATTATGCAAAAATGTGGCAATTATATTTGTATTTCGCCTCATTACGATCAAACAATACAAATTGTGCAATACATTATATTTATGAAAAGTTCACTTAGGTTATATGGTATATGTGTACCAAGTTTCAAAATAATTGACTAACAGAAAATATTTTTTTTAATTTTTGAAGTTCACTCTTTAGAAATAGCAAAATCATGCCTTCAATTTCATTGACATGTCTCCAATATATTAATCATGCCAGAGCCATATATATATATATATATATATATTTTTAAATAGTGGTAGTGGGTAGGCTTTAAGAATTTAACTCCTTCCCCCCCCATATTTCCAGTGAAATTTTCTCTAATATTTGTCGAAATAAAGAATCTAAGCAACTCGGCAACCCGAAATGGGAAAGTCACCCCCCTGGTAAACAGAAAATGTGTGCAACAACATAATTTTAAAAGTAGCTGACATAATTATGTTCTACCCAGTTCAAGGGAAATTTCCCCACTTGATTGAGTGAAAAAAAGAATTTGTACAGGCACCCAAAGGTACTCTTCTGAGATTGAATGACACCGCTTGAAATCAAATTCATCCACAACACACTTCTTTTTTCAATTTTTAATAATAAAGCAAACAATTAATAATAATTACATTGAATATACATGAATGTAACACAAATAGTAAGGAAAATGTTATTAAAAAATGGAATGTATGTCAAATAATGAATGACCTGTAATCACAATGGGAAATATGATACAAATTTCATTCGTTTGACAAATTTGATGTTGGACATGTTTCAGTCCACCCAAAATACCAAATGCAGAAATACTCATGACCTCTTACCAGTGTAATCCCTACTATGCCATACAACAAAACAATTATGCTCACCAGCAACATGCATGTGCCTATTGCACTGAGGAGCACTACAATAAGTAGGCACCTTCTTTTCCCCTCGACCTTCCGCGTAACAAACAACACAATTCCTTCTTACACCATTTGCTGCATTTATAGGCAAATGGGCAGTACAAAACTGATCATGGGGAGGAACAGCCTGCACTTGCTCATTCACAGGAGGTCTATCATACTCTGCTAACCCACAAATTTGTCTAATTATCTCCTCCCGAAAATCAACTATAGAATATGTGGACTTACGATGCAACGCCGGATTACCCGGGTCACTGTTACGATGGCTTTGAAATAGAAGGAAACTGTTAACAATTGCCATATCTATTAAGTGGAAGAATAATGTCTTCCACCATCGATAACATTTACGATTTACATTATGACATGCAAGCATTTGGTCAGACCTATCTACTGCGTTCATGTACTGGTTATATCTATGAAATGCATAGGGCTGGCTTACAGTCACCTTTTCAAACACTCCTCTCGTTTTCGTCCTTCTCTCCACATCCTTTTTATCATTCGCGGAATCAATAGATGTAATCAAGGAAACAGGCCTGTTATCAACCCATTGCAGGGTTAACACATTGGATTCCCTTGCCCATCGCATGCTACCTCGCTCCAACCTCCTCGCCCACACCTTCACATCCTTCATGCATTTAGGGAAACCCTCCCTGTTAGTTTTACATGTGCCTGATGATGGGGTCCCATTCATGAACAAATCTTGGACTAACTTAGGGGATGAAAAAAAATTATCAAAATATACATGATACCCTTGCCCCAAATATGGATTCACCAACTTCATCACCACATCATAACCAAGGCCATTCTGCGACGGTGCTTCATGCTGTGACTTACCTATGTAAACATTGAAATCAATTGTATACCCATTTGAACTATCTGCCAATACCCAAAGCTTTATCCCCCATTTTGTAGGCTTATTCTTCATGTATTGCCTAATGCCCGACCTATGTTTAGACTTAACCATGCGTTCATCTACAGCAATATTCTGGTACGGTTGGTATAACATACGGCATCGCTCTTTGAATGATGCCAGAAACTCCTCAACCTTGCGCAGTTTATTGCTAGCAATCTCTTCGGCGGGATCTACCACATGCAGGAATGCCATAAGGGCTTTATAACGTTTACGGGAAAGTATTTTCCTTGCCCAGAGACCGTGGTAAAGGGTCTTTGTGCTCCAATACTTTTCAACTGCTGTGTCTACACGTACCAGACCAAAATAAATCAAAATAGCAATTAAATGATTTATTTCATCTTCAGTAGTTGTTTTCCAGGCCCCCTCCCCAGTGGTGTATGTGGTGAACCCCCCAGCTACAAGTCTCATGAATGCGTAGCTGTTGGTGTGGGCAACAACTGATTTTATCATCTCAGTGGTAAAGAAGAGACGAAAAAATTCTAATTCAGTTGTCATTCCTCCCCGCAAGACATGCCTATCAAAATGAATTCCTGGCGGACGGCTTGGTTGAAAAGGAGGGAGGGTATTCCTAATGTCCGCATCATTATAAGATTTACTACTACTATTGTTGGCCCCGGTATCCCTAGCCCTTCCACCCCTGGCCCTACCGCCCCTGGCCCTACTGCCCCTGGCCCTAGTACCGCCCCTGGCCCTACCACCCCTAGCCCTACCGCCCCTGGCCCTACTGCCCCTTCCCCTATTGCCAGAAGTACCATTAGGGGAGTCAGCCCGTCTCCTAATTGGGGATCGGCCCCTTCCACCACTACCCTCCCCTAAATCACCATCCCCCTCCCCATCCGGATCCTCGTCATCTACTTCAAAATCATCATCATCTTCATCAACAGGTTCTTCATCACTATAAAAAAATAAAACACTATAAACATACTGATACATGGTATTATCTTAGTTCATATAAACAAAAATGCATAAATTAATTTTTTAAATGCCCACTTATGTCATGTGTGCAACACGACACTCACACATTTTGATATCGGTTCAAACCTTTGATTTTTGTGGCAATATAAATAACAGAACTCTCAAATAAATGCCTTATTATATCGATTATTTGTATATTTGTTATATTTCGTATCAGATCTTAGATTATGAACCAAATTCTTATGGCAAATGTGCGTCAAAGTTCACGTTGCGTCGAATGTAAATTTAATCCTTCGACCATGACATGAAAACATCTGTTCGCTAAAAACATGTAAATACTTGCCTTGAGTCGCTATCTGACATCGTCAAACGTCTGTCCAAGTATTCTTCTTCATCTGATGGTATTCCAGGAGCATCGAAATCAAAATTTTCGTTACTTATCGCATTTAAGACATCGTCGATATTTAATGCCATCTTGTATTTTTAAAAATATCAAAGACGGCAGCGAGCCGTTGGTGCGCGCATCACTTATAATCTAAAAAACGCCATATAAGGCGCGGATCTTGCCATAAACCAATGAAATTCACGATTCTGGGGGATTACATCATGGGGAATGGCATGGTAGAAAACCCGGGTAGCGGATAACCGGATAACCGGATAATCGGATAACCGGATAACCGGATAACGGATAGTATATAGAGATTTTTTCATGGGAAATACTTACGTGTGGTATTTACGCACGCGTTAATTTGTTTTCGCAAATTAAACGAACGAGCGAGTGCAAAATTTGTTTACTTCATAGACGATACAGAGTTTATTTATATTACACAGCGAAAAATATAAAGGTTTATATGTTTCATAAAGCGAGACAATCAGATAAACAAAGTCGTGTCGTACAAAAATACATCGGAAAATACAAATTTATCAGTATTAATGAACAGGAAAGGAAATATTACTTTATTATTATTATTTTAAAACGGTAGCTCTTCAGAACACCTATGATCTGTTTTTCAAGAGACCGTTTAAACTAATATTTACAAAGTTTAATAAAAATTACATCTAAAATATAATAAAGGGTTATTAACCGAGAGCGAGGTCTGTACGGGAAAGTATTTGCCTGAGGTTTTCGTACAGACCGAGCGACGAAGGAGCGAGGTCTGTGCGGACAAACCGAAGGCAAATACTTTCCCGTACAGACCGAGCAAAACGAGGTTAATAAACCATTTATTATATGGCTCCTTAAACACATTTTCTGATTTTCATATATTTGTTTGAGCGGTAAAATGAAGGTATTTTTGAGCTATGTTTTATTTGCTAGTTTTCTTCGTTTAGAATTGGTTTCGTCACCGAATATTGTTTACGGAAAAGCATGTTTAATTTAACAATCGCTTTAGAACTACTTTTTCGGTACCCCCACCCCCAGAAAAAATGCTTATAAACCCAGTTTATATGATATTTGTTTAGAATATGGTATTAAAGACGTTAAATTCATCTTTATTTATTTTTTGAAACAAGTAAATAAATCAAAAAATTTTCCCGCCAAAACGTACGGTTGCCAGTAAGAGTTCAAACGGCTTGTTTTCTTAGCTTTTTCGATGAAATTTGTGTTGGTACAAGTACTTATTAATATTTCCAAGACTTCGTATTCTTAAAAATGATCCAAGGATACTTTTTCTTCACATAACGACCTTATAAACGTGTAAAAACGTTTCAAATTCGAGCCTGTCAAACTGACATACGGGAAACCGGTCCGGATACGGGAAAATACGGACCACGGTCCGGATACGCATTTTACGGACCGCACGTCAACCAATCAGAGTCCAGGATTCTGCAAAGCCATATAATAATATAAATTATCACACAGTTAAAGTCTAAAGCCTAGGTCACACTACACGATAACGATACGATAACTTGTATACGCACGCTGATTGGTCAAAAATTTATCGTTATCGTCAGGCTGAAAAAAAAATTGCTCAGGTGAGCGATTTTGAAATCGTTATCGTTATCGTCAAACGATAATTTCGTTGTTGTGTGGATACTAACACAATTTTTTTGCCAATTATCGCGTGTTTACAATTTATCGTATCGTTATCGTTGTGTAGTGTGACCGGGCCTTAAGAGAATATATACAAAGTATTGTATGCACACATAAATATAATTAACAAATATTGTCGTTTTCTCTGAGAAATGTTTTGATATGTCCCATCGTCATTTCTTTTGCCTTAATCTCATTTGGCAAATTATTCCAGCCTTTTGCCCCTGAGTAGCTAATACTTTTTTTTGAGGAAATTAGTCTTAGGTTTATCCAGTTGAAAATTAATTCCGTTATTTCTAAGGTCATATTTTTCATTATTAGAGAATCTAAAAAATGTTTTCCGAAATAAAAAATGGGGGGTAACCGGCCGTTTTTTAATGCGTTAAAAGCCAAAATATCGGCCATCTTGAATAGTCCTTGTTGCTATAGTTTATATACGTTTTTAACATTTCTATAAACTGTAGGATGCCACAATAAAGGCAACGCTTCTGACCTGATACTATTATTGATTGTTCGTATTGAAAAAAATCGTAGATTGTTAAGCCTGCAGCACACGAGAGCTATGGGTTGAGCAAAAAGTTACTCGTGCCTGTTAGCTCAGCCGATAACTCATCGTGTGCGGTTGGATTTTACTGAGTTCTATGACTTATACAACCTTTTCTCACGCATCAAGCATGCTAACAGGCATTAGTAACTTGGTGTTCAGCTCAGGCTTAATCCTTGCCGACTGTCTTTGCTCAGCCATTACCATAACAGGCCAACGCAAACAAAACATTGTTTCTAACAAGTTAAAAGTGTTCTTTGTTCAAATCTGTCAATTCACACACCGAATTTTTGGGCCAAAAAACGTCGGTGGATCGGCTGAAGGTGAGGTAACAGCACTTCACTGACAGGGCTCAGTCGATGGACATCGAATTCTTTCTGTTTGCGTTTAAGGCAGGTAAAATCGCAGTGAAAATAAACATTTCCGATCTTACTGCGTGGTTGCCCTTGATATGTCCATTCTCGTAGCATTTTTGATACCACAACTAAGTCGTTTGGTGGCGCTCCTATGCTGTCATCTTGCTTTAGTGGGTTTTCGCATCCAAAACACATCGACGTTTGAGCGGGACAGAATTGCAATAAATAGATCAAAAATTCTCCAGGGTTAGGGTTTGGGAATGGTACGCGCTGTTGCTGATGCTGGGCTAGTTGGGGTGGGTGTGCAGGGTTAGGGTTTGGTAACAATACGCGTTGTGGCTGATGCTGGGCTAGTTGAGGTGGGTTAGGGTTTGGTAACAGTACGCGTTGTGGCTGATGCTGTGCTAGTTGGGGTGGGTTTGCAGGGTTAGGGTTTGGTAACAATACACGTTGTGGCTGATGCTGGGCTAGTTGGGGTGGGTTCGCAGGGTTGGGGATTAGGAACGACACGTGTTGTGGTTGCGGTGGGTTGCCATCAACTGACATGGACGCTCGCCCACTTAAAACATTATTGTGGTTTCTGCCTCGAGCTGTTGATGCTCCCGTTCTCTCTGGGGATTTAAATAAGTCGTTTGTTTGATTTGATTGCTCAGGGTGTACAATTAAATGTGGTGGTACCAAACACTGTTGCTGCAAATGCTGCGGTGAAGGTGAATGCAAAAGAACGCTCTGGGTTAATCGGGCTGGTGTTGTACGCTGGCTTACAAGCACTGCTTGAGCAGAAGGTGATGCATTCGGCTTTGAACATTGCACGGCAGAATCAGGTGGTGCAAAAGCTGTAATTGTTTCTCCAACCCTCCTACTTTTTTTCCTGGGTGCTCTGTTTCCTTTTTTCCCACGTCCACGTGGCATGCCGTATGTGATGGCTTTAGAAATGTTAATTCCACCACTTCGTCGTTGAGAACTAACCAACCACCCAAGATATCCATCCATTGTTTTTAACTTGATGTTCACAGCCACTGTGTGCTTGCAAATCTTTTTTGCGAGAAAGCCCGGGCAGTTATCGCATTCGGTTTTTCCGTTTGGGTACCGATTTACGATGTGAGGTTTTCGGGGATTGGATTGCGAGGTGACAATGTAAGTGTCATTACCTTGTGCAATAACATGCCCATCTTTGTTAGCTAGTGGTATTGCCCGACTCACGAGGGTTTCCAACAAGGCTTGCGGAATCCAATCGACGCCAGCGTTAAGTATTTCTGTTACTATGGGGTCAACGGATGTACCAAGAAACGAGGTAACATTTTCTACTGGAGAAGCTGACGATACGTCTACTGCGATACTGTGAACCTTTTCGAGAGCCTTCTTTCGTTGATCGTCGCGCATTTTGCTCCATTTTTCTGGCGTCACTTGTAATGATTTGAATTTCTCTCTTAATCGTAACTCGCCACTTCCTACCACTGCCAACTCTATTTCCTGCTGTTGCATTTGGATCAATTTGGAAAGAGCTACGCAGAATGAAAACTCATCTATGTTTTTCTTCCCACCACACTCCTTTTTAACGTATTCTTGAATGAGTCTGTTTGTTTGCTCTGATCGGTTAGTTGTAAAGCGCTCAGGCGGGCAACCCAAACCAGCTCTTTGACGAATACACTGGATGGCCGATGCAACGAATTCATGAGCTTTGTTATTACAGAACCATGCGTAAAAGACCTCGCCATTTTCGTGTAATTCTGACCATTTTGTTTCCAAACTTTGTAGCGTGTTTTGAAATTGCTTTTCATCCTGTGCATCGATTAGTCCACAAACGTGAACTCCATTACAGGTTTGGCCAAAGATATCAGCGATTACCTTACGCTTTATTTCCCCAGTCATTGTTAGTTCCTGTAACTTACTTTCCACGTTCTTTTTAAGATGCAATTCGCATAGGAGGTGTACAGAGCGTTCAAAATTATTTTTGAAGCCGTCGATGAGCGCACGCTCATCGTCCGTACCAAAAGCCAGAATGTCGCGTAACTCAGGTTGAAGCGTCTTTAGTGTTCCGCTAAAGATTGAGTAGGTTTGTGTCGTTTTCTTTTCGTGGAGCAGTACCGGGCCAATGAATGAAGGATGTTTACCGTCCCGCTTGTTTGCCAGTAGCAGATGTTGGTATGTGATTGGCGTAACGTTATAGTTTCCAATATCGAAGGTTGGATCAACTGTAAATGGGCGGAATTCAACGGGATTGCAACAGAATCGCTTTAAATCGTTAAGCTGGCGATTAGTTGTCGTGATACACAACGGCTCAGGTGCAACCCTCACATCTCGAAGAAATGCCGTATTCGTGTTGCCAGCCTGTTTCTTGCATTCACCAAGAATGCGATACCAAGGATCATCTTGCGCATTTGCAGATGATAATGTTTTAATTCGGCTTTCTTTCCTCAAATCTTTGACTTGCTGTCGTCCTCGTGGAATCTGTCCAACGCTAGCACAGGTTGCAATTCCACCTAAATCTTCTGCGATAACCTTGTGCAGGGCATCGCGAGGTTGAAAGACCTCCGAGGCATTTTTGACACTTTCTTTCGTGCTTGCCCATGTTCTGACATATGGTGCTGATGAATGATTTTTGGAGTTACCATGAAGTTTCGTTTGTAGTGGTTTCTCGACGCCACTCTTAAAAGAGTACTGTACCAATGCGTAGCGAATCGGTGAACTATCGGGCACTAAAATTTTAATAAAAAATTGTTTTTTAAAATAATTAGGATGGAGCAACTTCATACCCAGTTTTTTTTCTGGTGCTGCTACCCAGAGAAAACTGAGCGACTCTGACTGGACATGTGTCGCCAAACAAATGGGGGTATTTTCATATTTCCCAGGAAGGTTATCGGGTTGCGGTCACAAAATAGAAAATGAATTGTGATTGGATGTCTGACCCCTATCACAACCCCAGCCATATCCATATTGGCTTATTGAATTTATAACATACAGTAAGTTAAGATTTACATATCGGTGTTGAACTATAATATAAGAAGATTTCGTGGGACAGTTACAAGCATACCAGCCAGGCTAGCCAGCTAACTCAAGTAATTTAATAAATAAGTGATAAGGTCTACATAATATTCCCAAAACATCTACTTACAGTTAATTGGGTCAATTCGTCTCCTAAAATCTACATCACCCCCTCGTAAGTTGAAATAGCTGCGTCTCAGTGTACTAACTTTGTTTGTGTCGTATTGGTTTGGGTTTTTTTTATCCAAAAGTTTACATTCTCCATCAACTTGCACGAATTTGTACTTATTGCAACTGTTATTCTGCCAGCTACCGATATCATCACATCTGATATCATCGACTGATTTCAGAGAATGCAAATCCACTATAAACGTAGAGTGACGACTGACTCATATTGGTTGACGTTGGCAGACACGAGAAGAACTCACAGTGTTCCCAACGCTTGTGAGCACGCGAGTAGCGTCAATTGGGGACAGCACGTTACGTTTTGACGAAAATATGGGCATCAGAAGGTCACCGTCATAGTACGATACTTCTTCTTCCTGTACAATGCCTCGGCCATCAGAGCCATCATCGGGATCATCGGAATCAGAATCGATAGATCGTGGCCGCTTTTTTCTAGAAATAAAGAAATACGAGTTTGTTTAGAACGTAATTAACAACTACTAACTGTTATACTTTAATCAAATAGTTTTCCATGTCCTTAGATCTTCTTCGTTGAAGCATTCTCTCAGCCTCAGGGCTGACAGATAGTAGTTTTGTAAATCAGATCTGAATTGCCTACACTATAATGTTAGGAGATCTCAGTGTAGTTAGGAATGAGTTCCAGATTCTAGTTACACGAATAAAAAGGAGTGTTGGCAGGTAGAGGTTTTGCTTTTGGCTGGCGTAAGGAAATTTTTGGTTGCACCTGGAGGATCTGGTAGATCTAGTTTTAGATATACCTCCGGGCAGGAGGTCACGGGACACGTCGACCAAGCCATTCACCGCTTTAAAAAAGAATACTAGATCCAGATACTCATGCCAGTAGGATAGCAATAAGAGGCCTAAACGTTCAAGTTGTTTCCTAGAAATCTCATCGCACAGGTACGGAAAAGACGACCAAACCTGGCTTGAGTAACCAATTAACCAAATACATGGAGACTTACAACAATAGTTATGGCTCATCAAAAAACGATCCCTTCTCCAAAAGTTTTAATTATTGAAACGAGTTTGAAATATAACTTTTAGGGTGAGTTGATATCTCATGAGGTAACATTATAATTTAAATTTTGTCCGTCTTGTCAGAACATTAGATTTTTTGAAAAACAAATAATATAATGTTATTTGCTTACTGCCTGGAGGTATTCAGTGACTTGGAACGTAAACTTTTGGAAGGAGTGATTTCAGCAGCGGATAACAGCGGGCTATTACAAGGTTCGCTTCTGCAAGACATTTGTGCATATCTAAAATAAATAATAAATAATTATTCATAAGTTTTTAACATTTATTAGATGATAACCTTGATATAATTATAACCTAATGCAGGAGTTTACTTAATAACCACCTTTCCTGTTCGTTCGCTTCGTTCATCATCACTTCGACATCCACATTTTGTTCCTTCTCTCTAAATAACAGATAAAGTGTGAGGAACTGAGTTCAGAACAAAAAATAGAAGAATAACTTATGTTATGAAGAGAGAGAGAGATTTAAAACGGAAACAAATATTATATATCAAACTACATTTACCTTTTTTCTCTGCCTTGATTTAATTCACCTGTCAGATCAATAACTGCAACTTGCTTTTGCTTATCTTTAAAAGGTTCGCTTCTATATATAACAAAACATTTCTTTGACATACTATGCGGCATTTTTGTTTATTTTTTTTGCACTTCACGCTAAGGTAACATCTTAATTAAAATTTCTATCATCCTTCTTGCCAAAACATTAGATTTTTTGGAAAACAAGTATTGTAATGTTGTTTGCTTACTGCGTGGAGGAATTTAGTGACTTGGAACGTAAACTTTTTGAAGGAGTGATTTCAGCAGCGGATAACGATGGGTTATTACAAACTTGGCTTCTGTAAGATATTTGTGCGTCTCTAAAAATAATTAATAATAATCAATGATTCATATACTTTTAGTATTTTATCTATTTAATTTTATCTATTAAATTTTAACCTTTATATATATATATATATATAGAGAGAGAGAGAGAGAGAGAGAGAGAGAGAGGTATTGGCACTTTTGTAACCTAAATGTGGCACTTTCGTAACCTTGTGTGGCATTTTTGTAACCTCGTGTGGCATTTTTGTAACCTCGTGTGGCATTTTTGTAACCTCGTGTGGCATTTTTGTAACCTCGTGTGGCACTTTTGTAACCTGTGTGGCACTTTTGTAACCTGGCATGCATGTACACACTTCGTATCTATTTTTTCCAAGGCAAAAAACAAGATGGCGGTGAGAAAGAGTTATTTTGTTGACAGGTCATATTAGAAAGCTTTAAAAAGCTTCCCTGTCATATTGTTATACCAGAATATGGTTTAAAAGCTTTTGGTAACGTCGTGGTTGAAATTAAAATTATTTTTGTGATGGCAATATTGGCATACTAGTGGAAAGTTTGTTGAAAAAACACCAAAATGCAAGTGTCAATTTAAACATGAATAGCGTGACAGGTATGGAGTATTCATTTCTTTACTTTGTTATTTAAGATTGTATAATCAAGAAATCTAGATGTACAAATTCGTACTTAAGCTTGTTATCTTCTCGAATTAGTAGGAATTTATATGGCATTACTGTAATTTTTTGGACCAAAGTCCAAAGGCAATTGCCCGGCTTATAGCTTTCATTTATACTATGCTATACTCTAGTTTGTTGTGTTGTTTTAACAGCAGTTCTTTATTTTCATAACGGTGTTCCTTGGCTTTTGATGTTAGGATTATGATATTTGGTGGATTTATATAAAATAGAATCTTTTGGGTCCTCTCACTATTAAAAACAAAGGCTATTAAATCCATTGTAAAAATGCTCTTACTCTGGACGTCTAAATACGTATAGTACTTTGGTTTGATGCTCTTGGAATTTTAATAGCCTTCCTAAAAGCAGCTGGGCACCTGCATTTGTTCATGTAGACTACTTGCATTTAACATTCAAATTTTATACTTATGCCAGGTTGCCTAATACTGTAGTACACAAAACTGACAAAAGTCATAAATGGCATGCACACCCTAATACAACATTTGAAATATGACTGCTTAATGCTTTTTGCTGCATGCATTCAGGGCACATCACACATTTTATTAGGCATTTAGTTCCAAAGGTGAATATACTATACAAAACCAAACAAGTATTAATTATATGTTTTAAATGGAAAAATTGGAAACCAAGCCAGCAACTAGTTGTTTTTACCATGCAGTTAAGAAGCTGCCAATTTTGACAAATTTCTCATCCATTGTGATACAATAACTTGATTAATTGCTATTTGCTAATAATTTGTGTGTTAAATTATTTTGGGAACCCTGTTTTCCACTGATATTACATACTATACTTAAATCAAAGTGACTATATGACCGGCAGCCGGTCACGGTTTATCAAATACTAAATGGCCGGCAGTCTAGTGACTATACTGTAGTTGAATATAAAAACTTTTGTTTGCGTTAACTTTTACCGAGCTTGCCGTTAGCTCATACGGCAAGGGCGCTGCGTGCGAAAAGTTAAACGCAGTCGGGTCGGGATGTGTTTTGTTTGACTTAGCATTGTTTTTTCTTAAAAATTTTTAAACTTTTTTTCCCGACTTTTCTAACTCTCAAAAGGTTAGGGTTAGGACTTAAGGGTTAGGGTTAGAAAAGGGTTTGGGGTTGGGGATAGGTTTATCTTATAAAAATTCAACTTTAACAATAGTCACTAGACTGCCGGCCATTTAGTATTTGATAAACCGTGACCGGCTGCCGGTCATATAGTCACTTCGTACTTAAATTAAGGACAGTGTATGATTGGTTGGGTTACAGCAATTTGGTTTGTTTTTTCAATAACAGGCATAATATTATAGTGGTCCTGGCAAAATAAAATATTTTTTCAGGGAGGTTAGAAAAATACTGGTCAATACCGGTACCACATAAGTTAAAATACACCAAATTTTTCAATATAATTACCCCCAAAATAAAAATATTACAAAATACATGGTTGCTTGTGGAAAATGTGAGGTCAGGTGACTTAGCCTTCAAAATATGTTTTGGTTAACTAACTTGAATAATGTGAAATGTGAAAATATGCCTTAAGTCTAAATATGACTTGATCGTAGGCTATAAACTGAACCTCAAACAATAACGGTTTGATGGAATTAAACCAGATCTTCACATATATTAAACAGCAACTATTATATTAAACAGCAAGCTATAATTTAGACAGACTCCTAAAGCTCATACTAGTCTGATAGATGAGATATAACCTATTGAGTCGCATTGTGCCCTGATGTGCCCTACTTTATTATTTTACTCTGTCTAACGCTAGACGATTTTACTCGTCAGGGGGAAAGCGCTGGTTCTTAATGGGTTAACTGGCCTATTTGCCCATGTGTCTATTTAACCCATTGAGTCGCATTGCGCCCTGATTTGCCCTACTTTATTATTTTACTCTGTCTAACACCAGACAATTTTACTCGTCAGCACTGCATGGCACTTGATGGGTTAACTGGACTATCTTCCCATGTGTCTAATATTTAACCTTGTATTGAGTTACATTGCCCCCTGATGTGCCCTACTTTATTATTTTAATGATCTGGGTTCTTGTACTTCACTTGGTGGAATTAATATTAGAATGTTAGGGTTTGTAATCCAAGTGAGAATATATACATTTTTTAAGACCTAACCAGGAACGACTGCGAAAAATGCAGCACAAGATCCTCTGGTAGGAATTGAACCAACGGCCCTGCGATTCTGGTGAATCTGAATCGCAGGGCCGTAGGTTCCGAGCGCTGCACCGGAATCGCAGGGCTGTAGGTTCAATTCCTACTGGAGGACCTTGTGCTGCATTTTTCGCAGTCGTTCCTGGTTAGGTCTTAAAAAATGTATATATTCTCACTTGGATTACAAACCCTAACATACTAATATTAATTCCACCAAGTGAAGTGCAAGAATCCAGATCATTGAAGTCCACCTTATCACAACCCGCACACCCGATTACCTATATATACATGAACTTACGGTTACAGCTAAACAGCTGACCTCTGTAGCTCAGTTGGTTAGAGCGCTGCACCGGAATCGCAGGGCCGTAGGTTCAATTCCTACCAGAGGACCTTCTGCTGCATTTTTCGCAGTCGTTCCTGGTTAGGTCTTAAAAAATGTAATATATATTCTCAATTACAAACCCTAACATTCTAACTTTATTATTTTACTCAGTCTAACGCCAGACGATTTTACTTCTCAGGGGGAGAGCGCTGGTGCTTAATGGGATAAACAAGAATTTTGCTGGGTAGATAATTTATATAACTTCAGCGAAACCAAATTTACATTGAGATAACATGTTAAAATGTGAAAAATAAAATGGCTTAAGTCTAAATATGTCTTGATCACAGGCTATGAACTGATCCTGAAACAAAAACGGTTTGATGGATTTAATTACTGTAAACCAATTATTCACATATTAGATGATGAATGTTTGGAAAGATTACACAATGCAAATATATAGTTTACTGATTGTATTATGGCTTTGTCGGCAGCTTACATTGGTTTTGTTATGGATATATAGGGTGTTACACTTATCTTCACAAAATATCATAAAGCCACCTTAGCAGGCTGCACTGTAACTTAGACTCATGAAGCTCATGCTACTGATAGATTAGATATAGACGTCAAGTATCTTGCTGGGTAAATTTATATAACTTTAGTGAAACAAAATATGTACATTAAGATGACATGCATGTAACCATGCATGAGTCTTCAAACAAAAACGGTTTGATGGAATGAAACCAAACCTTCACATATTAGAGAATGAATGTTTGGAAAGATTATACAATGAAAGTATATAGTTTATTGATAGTCTTATGGCTTTGTCGGCTGCTTACATTGGTTTGTTATGATTATATAGGGTGTTAATTATCTTCATAAAACATCATAAAGCCACCTTAATTAGCATGCTACAGTATAACTCAGACGTGGACTCATGAAGCTTATGAACCAAATTTACATTAAGATGATATGTAGCCGGTCCACAAACAAAAACGGTTTGATAGAATTAAACCAGACCTTCACATATTTGAGAATGAATGTTTGATATTATGGTTTGTCGGCAGCTTATACATTGGTTTTGTTATGAGTATAAGGTGTTAATTATCTTGATAAAATATCATAAAGCTATACCTTAACAGGCTATAATTACTTTCGACATAGACTCATAAAGCTCATGCATGCTACTTATAGATGAGATATGGACAAGTATTTTGCTGGGTAGATTATTTATATAATTTCAGCAAAACCAAATTTACATTAAGATGACATGTTAATTAAAATGTGAAAATATGCCTTAAGTCTAAATATGACTAGTTGATCGCAGGCTATGAATTGGTCCTCAAACAAAAACGGTTTGATGGAATTCAACCAGACCTTCACACATTAGAGAATGAATGTTTGGAAAGATTATACAATGAAAATTTATAGTTTATTGATAGTCCTATGGCTTTGTCTATAATCTTTGTTGTGATTATATACTGTAAGGTGTTAAATACCTTGATAAAACATCATAAAGTCACCTTAATACATTATAGATAACGTTAGACATAGACTCATGAAGCTCATGCTACTTGAGATATAGACAAGAGAATGATTTGAGATATAATAGATATAGAGAAAGAATGTTTGGAAAGATTATACAATGAATTTCTTACCCTCTACATTTTCTGCAACCTCCTTGCTACATTGTTCTAGAAGTTACATGAGCTGTTAATATTTGGTATAAGCGGTATAAGAGGAGAAATTCATCTCAACATGCTTGTAAAATTTTTCTTCACACAGGAAAAGAGAAATGATGTTGGCAAATGGTGATAGATGTTAACCAAAGGCGAAGTTTCTTCCTTGCTGCTCTTAAATCATTCTTGCATGTTGAAGTTGACATTACTAATGGATAAGATGTAGACTCATCAAACACTGCAGGATTGTGCACTCTGGAGTTATGAATGCTGCGTTCCTGTTGTTCTTTCGAGTCTATAAATGAATGCCTTCTTTTGGAACAACCTTCAACATTTGGCATCGCAATGTGGACTTTTTAAAGGGTGAGTCGAAAGGCATGGTAATGTGACGAGGCTAATGAACAATTTAGTTTTGTCGATGCTTACTGCAAGTTTAAAGTACAGTACGTACATGTAATTCTTATTTAGTAGTTCCTTGGGCATTATAGCTAGGTACAAGCCAATATATACAGGGTGTATAAAAAAAAGGAGACCTTTAGAAAACAATTAGCATATTGTTAAAACTTGAATGCCTTCTCAATTGCACATATGCTGAACCGTAGTGCGTGAAATATTGATGAGTGCA